GCCTCATCGAGACGGGCCTTGGTTAGTTCCAAGATGTAAAATTTTGGGATGTCATATCGGGTGTTATATGAGAGTGTTGCATGGGGTATTCGGATACTTATACAAAAACAAATTACAGAATCCATCAGTAAACCACGAGACGAATTTATTAAGCCTAATTAATCCGCCATTAGCACATGTGTTACTGTAGCACTTTATTGTCAAATCATGAACTAATTAGACTTAAAAGATTCCTCTCACAAATTAGTCGCAAACTGTACAATTAGTTATTTTTAGTCTATATTTAATACTCCATGCATGTGTCCAAGTATTCAATGTGATAGTGTGTAAAGTTTTGTAGGAGGAACTAAACAAGGGCTATTCTGCAAGGGGCGAGCTGCAGCCAGCCACCCAGCAAGCCGGGAGGATCACATGCGAACTCCAACAGGCCGCGGAGCAGGGGGCAGCTCTGGCAGGATGTGCAGCAGGCCACGAAGCAGGAGGCAGATTTGGTAGGCGCAGCAGCAGGGGGCGAGCTCCGCAGGCTGAACAGGGCATGCGGTCGTCCGGCAGGCCTTCGCACAAGGGCGCAGCGGCAACAAAAGAGGATCTGCGCAGGCACGGGAGCAGCGGCGGCCATGGTCGACACCACAACGAGAAGAGAATGATGGGACATAGCGGCTAGGAGAACTCCGGGGCAGCGTGAGAAGACGACCATTGCTCCTCTCCGGCAGATGAGTTCAGATCGGAGGCCCTAGGATGCATGTGGGGGAGGAGGAGGGAGGAATGAGGCGCCCTTATCTCTTGGGTGCCGAATAGGAGATGGGTTGGAGAAAGGGGTGGAGCTAGAGCAAATTCAAAGGGGGGTGCGTCTTGTCTTATGGTGTAAATATAGTGAAAATTTGACTCTTTTTACTGTATTTTTAATTTTGCGTATGTGCTACAGTGAGCAATATAGCTCCGCCCCTGGTTGGAGAATGTTTTTCACATTTTGGACTCTTAAAATTAGATGAGGGCTTAGATATGGCCTTGGTTGGAGTTGGCCTTACAGTAAGCTTACAAAAGCAGGGAAGCAGGGAAGTAATTTAACACGAATGCAGAACAAAAGCAGTACACAATATACATACACGCATCATAAGCGTTGTCCACACACAATTAGCCAAATAATAATATGCGTTGCATTGAAGAAAAGATAAACAATAGTGATGCATATTCAAGGCTTCAACGATCTCCTCAAACAGAGATGATAATAGAACCATCTAATCAAACTCATCCCTTTCATAATCGACATAGTCAATGTAGTTACACTCATCGTAATAATCAAACTCGCCACAGCTTTTCTGGTAGATGCGCCTTTCCCACTTCAGAGGAAGCCGAATGTCCATGGTGTAGTTGCACAGGAGCTCAATAATTGTGACAGGACACGCTGAGTTAGTGCGCCAAATCATATCGCTGCTGCCCATTGCTGCAGATACCAGCTTCGGGTTTTCACCATCGTCAAAAGTTTCATTGTTGAACTTGTAGATACAACCCTCCTCTGCTAGATCAGAGACTTGGAAGTAAACGTAGTTGGCCTCAATGGTTGGGAACCTGCTGGCGTCCACAACAAGGCACCTCTCTCCAAGAAATAGCGCTAGGCTACCGATGCTCTTGATCCGCTCCAACACATTCCCAGAAGCGTCAATCTAGGAAAAAAAAATATAGGCACCTCAACTAAAGTACAAGTTTTATTTGACTTTAATTAGAAAATCATATTTTAAACTTCTCTAACTTTAAAAATCATAAGATTTACCTATCTAAACAATTTTTAAAGTGGTTTCATTGACATGCGTCATGTTATCCGTCCTGCACGGAGCCACATCACCCAAGAGAAAGATTAAAGAAACATGTGTTTAAAAATTAGAGAAATACTATTTTGGAAATAAACAGAAATAATTTTACAAAAACTATCCTAATATTTTAAGGGTTCGCTTAGAGTTTATACAAAAATTATCCAAATATTTCCTAGAATAAATATGCATTTAAAATAGAAAATTTGACTTTATAGAATAACACATTTTTTTTGAAAATAATTATAAAAATAATTTTTCAAAAAATATAAAAATAATTTTTAGGAATAAATATGTGTGTTTAAAAATAAATCTAATTAAAATTTTGAAATTTCATAGAAATTTTGGTTTACCTTAGAAAAATATAAAACCAGATTCATAATTTTCAAAAAACCATGTTTATATTTTTTTGAGTTAGGTACCAACATATAGAGCATGATTTTAAGAAACAGATGAAGTCTCCATTCCAAGCCTGTCTAAACTATCTTTCTCCTTGATCATGTACTCTAGGTATCGATGACGACGGCGATCACGAATGAGGAAGCAGTCGCGTCCATCCAGATGTTGCTGGCCATCATGTCACATATGTCGGTTAACTTGGGAGTGTCAAAAGTCGCATGCTAGGATGGTCCAATGAGTCTGTAGTTCTCCACGTGTTATCCTTGTGATGTCCCCTGAAGAAGACAATGCTACAACAAAGTTAAACTACACGATATATATTGTTAAGGTATGTTGCTGCTGAGGAAACTTTGTTTGTAGTTTGCATGGTGGGTTGCACGATGACGAAGATCCCACCATTTCTTACCTGCTGGAAACCGTGTTCTCCAATAGATAGTTCGGTTAGCTTTTTCTCCGGATCACTTTTCAGCAACACTGGAGCTACTCTTTGCGACATGTGGATGGCTCTCACGACATGTTTGTTGAAATGCGTAATCCAGCTTGGTTCATTCAATCGAAGGGGCAAAAATGTCTTTTCCATAGAAGCTTAACTTCACTTTAACAATAATTAACAGTAACATGACGTAAGAGGCGTACAGGGATTTTTTTTTTTGTTGCATTGACTTACAAGGGCATTCAACACTTTCGTGACATACGCGGAAGTCATAATTTTTTTTGTGGTACTGAGGGAATTGTCTCAAAAAAAAGTCATTCTAGTTTGTTTTTGGCAAAATTAAGCTTCACCGTACCTAAACGAAAACTAGACGCAGCAGTGTCTTAAAAAAATATGGTACATGTATTTTAATGCAAATCTTTTGCTACTACAACAATATGGCCGACTCCTACATTATTCTTTCTGCGTCTAAGTAGGCCACCGACCATAATTATCATGGTCACAACAGGTGTATCGACTTAATTAACCCAATATGACTGACACCTGGAACATCGAGGTGAAGAAGTGTGACGCTTACAAACTAGCACTAGTTTGAGAAATTGACGAGCCAACGATGTGGCAACATAATTTGAATTCATTGACATTTCAAAGTTACAAGTCGCAACATGTATATAGCTAAAATAAGTAGATGAACAGAGACCCATGGATGCAACAACATACTCCTATGAAAGGACGCTAGCTTCTGAGAGATAGTAGCTTGCTAGAGAATGTAAAAGCCTCTGAGGTTCCCTCTCGTAGGTAACAGAGACAACTATGCATTTTGCATAATGCATATGTATCCCTTTTCTCTGATCAGATCAGATTCAGTGGACCCTCCAACCTCCATCAGATCCGTCGTCATTATCTGAGAAATAATCTTCGTCGTCATCAGAATCCTCCTCGTCGTCGTCTGAGAAAATCTTCCTCGCCATCCATCATAATTTGGCGGCGCAGTTCAGAACATTGGACGAACTTGCAGTAATTTGCAAAAACATGGGCCAGGGTGAACGGCTGGAAACAATCTGCTGGTAATGGTATGGGGCTGACATCCACCATGGGCTGTTGCACTCCGTCAGCTTCGTGAGGGAAGCGAAAAACGGTCATGAACGAGAACTGCACGTCGAAGTAGCAGCTTAACTGATCCACGAAGTAGATGCAGCCACCTTGCACGGCCGCGAACTTGTCGGCGTCGATGAAGACGCACCTGACACGGTTGAGGAAGAGGGCGCGGTTGCCGATGGTGCTCACCGGCTCAAGCACGTTCCTCACGGTGTCCACCCTGTGGACGGAAAGCAGATCGCCGGACACGCCGCACCAAGCAGGTCTGGTCACAAGCAGCAGCTCTCCCCCAGACTCCACAATGTAATAATGGCAACTGTCACCCAACAACGCCTCCGGAGTGGCAGTGGCCATGGAGATGCTCTGAACCGAGCGGCAGCAAGCAATGTCGTCCTTGGGAGGCACCATATCGTCGTCGACGACGGCCGCAGCAGCAGTAGAGAGCACGGCTCCTTGCCGGTTGGTGAGGTACACGTCGCCGGCGAAGGGAACCATGCACAGGAGACCGTCGTCGGGGTAAGGCGCCGGTGCAGCACACTTTCCGAAGTACTTGCTGTCCTGGTCTGCCCACATGACGGCGCCATCGTCGGCTAGCATGGAGACAAACACCGTCGTCGTCGTCGCCACCACGGCGACCTCCCTAACCTCGCCCACGGCCAGAGGTGGACTGGATCTTCAGGTTGTCGTCGTTGCGGATCTGCAGGGGCGTCGACCGGCACCCGGGCTACACCGACGAGATGGCGAGGAGACTGGACTCTGGGGGAGAGGAACAAGGATGCCGACGTCGGATGTGGGGCCGCGGCGAGAAGCACAGGACGACGGATGCAACATTTTCGGCCCTTTCTGTTGCAGGAGGTGGCAAGGCAATGCATGTGGCTGCGTACGCGGACGTCTAGGAATTGGGCTTGCTTGCGGGCCGTTGCATACGTGATACGTCCCACAATTAGTTCCCAGGACGGACGGACGGAGCGGAAGATCATCGATCGTCGATCAGGGCAGGCGTGCAGTATATATTATTGTATTTTCGTGAGGACTGATGGAGTTTAATCTGCTTTTTAAATAACAGCACAACAAACTCAAAAGCTCGGTAGTTTGGCATCGTATATATATCGACGATGTACAATATGAATAACCACCAGGTGCTGCTCCAGCAAGAAGAAGAAGAAGAAGAAGCGGGCGGCGGCGGCCAGCTGGCGACCCCCGATCCGGCGGCCGCCTACCTGAGTTCCGGCGACATCGCGTCTGAGTGCCTTGTGGCCGTGATGTGGTTGTCCCTAGGCGCGCTGCTCCTCGGCCTGGGCTTCGCCGAAGCCCTCTCCGTTGGCCACTGGGCGGAGTTCGTGGCCTACTTGGCGTGCGGCGGCGTCGCCCTCGCCGTCGGGTGCGGCTTCTTCGCCATCGCATGCTGCCTCTCGGTTCAAATTCATCGCTCTGGCGGCTCGGCTGATGAGATGAGATTCATTCGCCGGCCGGGCACGCACAGTTTAGTTCCAATGCCATAGATCGACGTCGTCGTCGTTTTACTATATCATCTCTATATTAAATATGTAATATGAGTTAATGACATCATGACAATCATCCGATCCCATATTCCATGAACACAAGCTTTTATTTCCAAATCACTAGCTGCTTCCTGCTTATTTGTTACAACATGCGCATGGACTCGATGGAGACTTAACAAAAAAAACAAGCTTCGAACTGCTAGCTCTCCCCCGTTTGTTGTTCACGATCGATGCGATCTAGAGCACGAGGCTACCGGCGGCGTCGACGACGGTCTCGACGACGGACCACGGCAGCTCATCTCCAGCAGCGCCGGCGTTGCGCACGGAGCAGTTGGCGCGGACCTGTCCCTGGGACCCCGTGAGCACGTTGATCTGCCCCATCTTGACGTACGAGTAGACGAACTGCTCGAAGAAGGCGTTCTGGTCGACGGCGAACTTGGTCACCAGAGGCCTGGTGGTGGCGTTGGTGAGCAGGTCCTGGTCCGACGTGAAGAGGCCCTCCCGGTTGAGCAGGTCCACGTAGTACTTGTTGTCGAAGGTGTTGGGCGTCCGGACGTCGTTCACCGTCGTGTTCACCGTCGTGTTGGTCGGGCACGTCCCGTACAGCTGCCCCGCGAAGAACTTGTTCAGCGTCGGGTCCTGCGTCGGGAACAGACGGTTGCCGAAGGAGCTGCAGTGCGCGATGCCCACGGTGTGGCCGCCGGACAGCGCCACCAGGTCCGTCGCGTCCAGGTTGATCTTCGCCAGGAAGGACAGGAGCGTTGGCACCTTGGACGTCGGCGATGGGAGCGCCGCCAGGACGGCCGCGTTCGACGCCGCCGCTAGCCCGTCTCGCCTGCCCAGCGGCACCTTGTACGCCGGACCGCCACCCTGCATGCATATATAATTATATAATAAAGCATGATGAGCTGATGATGATCAAAAGTGGCTGCTGTTAGTTAACAACTCTGACAATTACACTCATAATTAGTTAATAATAAAGTGATATCAGGAAGATGATGACTACGATGGTTGCTGCTAGCCGACATCGACGACCAAGGACCGCGCACAGTTATTAGCTGCAGCAGCCCCATAATCCAGCCACGTGGGGAGACAGTGACACGTACGTTTCATCTGCCACTGCAACTGCCCTAGTACTGTACTTTGCCGCTGCATTTTCAAAGGGACGAATACAACGGAAACCAGACCATTCAGCCTGGTTTAGTTTCTCAAAAAAAAAAAAAAACTTACATTCTGTCACATCGAATGTTTGGACGCCTACATTGAGTATTAAATATAGACTAAAACAATAACTAATTACACAGTTTGTGAGTAATTTGCGAGACGAATCTTTTAAGCCTAATTAGTTTATGATTTTACAATAAAGTGCTACAATACACATATGCTAATGACGGATTAATTAGACTTAATAAATTCGTCTCGCTTTTTACAGACGAATTCTGTAATTTGTTTTTGTATTAATATCTAAACATTCCGTGCAACATCTCCGTATAACACTCGATGTGACATCTAACAATTTTACACGGAGTAACTAAACAAGGCCTCAACCTTTTGCGTTGACCCGTGCCATTGGCCGGCTCATAAATATACAGGTCTACTAGGTGCTCACTATAATTAATATGTATCTCGTTATTATTAGAAACTCCTCGCAAAAAAGCACAAATTAGTGGAAAAAACATTTATGAGCAGTACAAAAGTTGTTGTGGCTTTGTGAAAAGCTTACTACAAGCTGTAGGTTTTTATGACACGGTATGCCAAATACTTATCTAGTTCTGTAAAATTAAGTTCAACTAATATTATCACCCCAGTTACAATGCAAAGGCCTGATTACTTCATATTAAATTTTAAAACTTTCATAAAAGTAGCTACCATTACTTTTATTTTCCTTTGTTGAAAAGTATTAAAGTCACTCGAAAGATTTTTTTTTGGTCATTGTCTTGTCTTAATAAATTACATGGACATATTCTGATGGAAAAATAGTGGTTGGATGCATATGACCATGTCATGTCTAAACTACGAGAAAAACTCGTGACAAACTATGGCCAGTTTTGGAATGGCTCCAACTCCTGCAACAACCTCTGTGGATCGGAGCCGGAGCTGTTTTGAACTGAAAAACTGGAGCCGCAAAGCATGGCTCCTTTAGTCCTTTATTAAGTGCTTCGACTCTAGATAGTAATTGAAGATATATATGCAAACACTTTTGTACCTAAAAAGTAGTTTTTTTTGTTCCACTACACATATTCTTGCCATGTTGATGTTGAAAAAGTAGGGCCATCCATGTGAAGTTACATGTACCACACGGCATAACATGGGGTGTGCGTGTGTGTGTTTATAACAAGAAGGAAAAGTATAGAATAAAGTACGTGTGTGTGGGATGCATGCCACAACAGTCAAGAGAGTAACATATATGCATATGATTGGACGACTTTATTTACTGTGCGCAAATGAATATATAAAGCAACAAAGAAAGCAATCGCGTAGACGACGCGTACTACACGTACCAGGGCAACGGATTCACGGGCGGCGAGCGCGACGATGTCGGAGCAGGAGACGACGCGGCCGCACGCCTGCTCGAGGCGGGCGCGGATGTCGTTGACGGCCTTGAACGCCGCCGGGCGGAGCGTGAGGTTGGGCGGCGACAGCTGCTCGCTGGGCTGGGTGGGTGTGGAGTCGAGCAGGACGGAGGCGTCGCAGCCCTGCACGAAGCAGTCGTGGAAGTGGAGCCGGATCAGCGCGGCGGCGAGCCCCACGTTCTGCCGCACCGCCGACGACAGGAATTCCTTCACGATGGACTCCGCCTTCGGGCAGCTCTTCTTGTAGAAGTCGAACGACAGGCCCGGCGCCAGCGGCGGGTACCTGCCCTCCAGCAGCTCGACGTCGCCGGCGGCCGCCAGGGCCACCACGGCTGCTGCTGCTGCTACCAGTACCAGCAGAGCAGCAGGGCGCCGAGAAGAAGTAGCCGCCATTGCTGCTGTGCGCCTTGGCTAGCTGCTAGTAGGTAGGTGGGCAGATCGAGGGAGGGCGGCGTGTGGAGGCCTTGCGCGCTCGGCTGCCTCCATTTATAGCCATGGTTGCCGCCATGCGTCCTGCAAGTTGGCCGCGGGTTAGGGTGAAATTTTTGTATTTTTATCCCTTTTGAAAACATTTTTTATAAAAAGACCTATGCCAAAACGTTTGCTGAAAATAGATCATTTTTAGACGTCTTAAAACATGACGTCAAGGTATGAGGGTCGGCGTCGACTGACACGACGCCGAGGTTTTGCCACGTCACGGACGACCCCGGTCGACGGCGACACGATGGCGCATGGGGTCCGACATGTTGGCGCTGTGTCAGCCAACGCCACAGGCTCAACCTCGGCGCTGTGGGACTACACGCCGAGCTATTGGCATCATCCGGCGCGCGGCCCAACAACGCTTCGTGGCTCAATAGCTCGGCGCGGGGTCACTTAACACCGAGCCACCAGACTCGGCGCGGCTCGACTCAACGCCGAGGTCTGGACTCTTGAAGCCGCGCCGCGGCCCCCTTCTTCTTCTTCCCTCCATTCTGAAACCCTGCGCCAGCTCTGCTCTTCAGCTCCCCCCACGCCCCCCACGAAACCCTAACTCCCAAAAGCGACCCTAGGTGCCCCAATCTCGTCTCCCGAAGCTTCCTCGAGGTAATGGTCCCTCCCCTCCTCCAATCTATCCGCATAGATGTGCTTGCATTGTCTCTAATCATGTGGAATCATGGGTGTATGGTGTTTTGGTATATGTGTATTTGCATTTGCAAAATGTATGGCTTAGATTGATTGAGTGCATTGTTGTTTAACTGTTTTATGTGCTGAACATGTTAGGTTAGTTTGGTTTCTAGTTATTTTGGTCATTAGGGTTCTTTGTTTATTGTAGGTGTCATTAGGGTTAGTTATTTGTTGGTCATTAGGGTTAGTATGTATTTTAATTATTTGTTGGTGATTAGATTTTAATTTTTTATGACTAGAAATGATTATGTTGTTGGGGTTGAAAAAGATGAAATGATATATTTTAGTTTCTACTTATTGGATTGAAACTCGCATGATATATTGATATGTGACACTACTTGTTGTGTGATGGCTGTAGATGGATAAATTAGTGAGGTTGCATCATGAAGGCCGTATTGTTAGGACAAGAGATGATAGTTTAGAATTTCTGGACATGTGTGAGGAGTTGTTGATTTTTTCGGAAACACCATCTTTGACCCAGTTAGTGGAGCGAGTGAATGTTAAGTTAGGCTGGAATGAAGGAGACGTGCATGTTCAGTTTGAAGGTGTCATAGATGTTGGGTCGTCGAAGGGTCCTCGGATCAAACGGTTGCTCAAAATTACAAGCGAGTCTGAATGGAATGATTACAAGGCAGTTGTATTGGCCTCAGAAGTGCGATCTTTAGATTTAGTAGTAAGTAAGGAGTCCGGCTTAGGAAATGATAACTTCGAAGCATGCCCATCTTCCCCCGTGTTTGGATCGCTCGAGCGTGATGGAGGTTGGTTTGAGGGCGGTGGAGATGAGGAGAATCCGGTTGCTGATGGTGAGGGCAATCATGATAGTTATGAAGAGGATGATGATTATGTAATTGGTGATGCAGAAGAAAGTTTGGACGACGCTAGTGGAGACTTTTCTATTGAGGATGAGCTTAGCGACGAAGATGATCTTAGTGGTGAAGAAGAATTTGGTGATGCTAGGGCTACGAACCGTTTTGACATGGAGATAGCTGGAGATGATGAATCCTTCGTAGAGGAGATAGCTGAAGACTCTGATGACGATCGCTCTGTTGGTCGTCTCAATTTTAGGGAAATAGAGATATTGTCTAGGGTCTTGCCTTGGAGAGATCCCCTAGTTGGTGATTTAGAGGACCTTAGCCATGGTCACATGGCAGTAGCTGATGGTGGGCCAAGTGATACAACAGTGCCTGATGTTAGCGGTTGCCTCATCATACGGAAGGACATATTGTTTGCTACCATGGATGAGTTGAAATCATGGTTGCAAGAGTACTCCATTGTACACAACCGACCTTTTAGGGTCATCAATTCATTCAAGGAGAAGAGGTACACTGTTGCTTGTGAAGAACAATAGTGTGGTTGGAGAGTATGTGCTAGGGAAGACGAAGGCAGGCAAATGGAAGATTACCTCAGTGAAGCAACCACATGTTTGTGCCACTGCTGAGGCAGAAGAGAACCATCTGCAGCTCAATTCTAGGTTCATTGTAAGGCACTTATGCCCCGTGGTAAAGCATATGCCAACCATTACGGTGTCCGCGTTGGTTGAGATCATCTTCCAAAGGTACAATTACTATGTCAAGCATGGAAAAGCATGGAGGGCAAAGCAGCGTGCACTGGAAATAATATTTGAAAATTGGGAAGAAGCTTATGAGCGCCTCCCTGTAATGTTGAACGCAATGAGGGCTGTAAATCCTGGGATGCACTTCGAGTATTTACCTAAGGAGGGTGAAACAAGGAATGGTAGCCAGGTATTTGGAAGGGCCTTTTGGGCGTTCGGACAGAGCATCGAAGCATTCAAGCATTGCAGGCCCATCGTCTCAATTGACGGGACCTTTCTTACAGGGAAATTTGAAGGCACAATGCTTGTTTGTATTGGGACAGATGCAGAAGACCAGCTTGTGCCATTGGCCTTTGCGATTGTTCGGAAGGAGGACACAGATAGTTGGTGTTGGTTTCTCAGGCTAGTAAGACAAGTGGTAATTGGTCTAGGACGTGATGTTTGTGTGATATCCGATAGGCATGCTGGCATTTTGAATGCCGTAGAACAAGAGATTCCTGGTTACGGCCAAATACATCACCGGTGGTGCACCAGACACCTTGCTCAGAATCTTATAAGGCGTGATCACACAAAGGACAACTTTAAATTATTTGAGGAGATTTGCAGGCAGCAAGAGGTTCAATTATTCAAAGACAAGCTAGATGCCCTGAAGTTAGCCACAAATGTTGATGGCAGGCAATTCTTGAGCGAGTTGATGGCGTCGAAGGATAAGTGGTCACTTGCATATGACACCGGAGGTTGGAGATGGGGCTTCATGACTAGTAACATGGCAGAGATGTTCAATAGCTATCTAAGAGGTTGTCGTGGTCTGGTGGCTCGGTGTTAAGTGACCCCGCGCCAAGCTATTGGGCCACGAAGCGTTGTTGGCCGCCTGGGCCGCGCGCCGGATGGTGCCAATAGCTCGGCGTATAGTCCCACAGCGTCGAGGTTGGGCCTATGGCGTTGGCTGACACAACGCCGACGTGTCGAACCCCATGCGCCACCGTGTCGCCGTCGACCGGGGTCGTCCGTGACGTGGCAAGACCTCGACGTCGTGTCAGTCGACGCCGACCCTCATACCTTGGTGTCATGTTCTAAGGCGTCTAAAAATGGTCTATTTTCAGCAAACATTTTGGTATAGGTCTTTTTGTAAAAAATATTTTCAAAAGGGATCAAAATGCAAAAATTTCACTGGGTTTAGGTGGGAGATGTACAGAGACGACGACGACGACGGGAGAGGGCTTTGTGGCTGCTGGTGCTGGTCAAACTCCACGACGACGATGGATCGAGGAAACAGCTAGCTAGCATGTACACTGCAGTACACGTACGTGGAGCTGTGCTGTTGTTGTGACCACGTTTTTTATTTTGTTTTTCTTCTCTGTACGAACCAATGCAGCGATGTCGTGGCTCCCAGGGCCTTTTGGCATGGCTTATTTCAGCTTCGACTTTATATATTTTACGTAAATCGAGACATTATAGTGTGAAATTATTTTTTTAAGTCGGAATTAAAATGAACTATAAGCCAAGAAAAACTAGTTTTTCTGGCTTCACCGACTTTAACTTCACTGATGAAGCCGTTTTGGATGAACCGGTGCCAAGGGGGCCTTAAAGTTGCCTGTACCAGATGCAGCGTCGCCAAATGCTTGGGGCCAGAACCACCTGTCTAGCTAGGCACTGTATCTCCCGGGACCAGAACCAGGCTGCATGCTCGCATCGGATTGGAGGCAAAAGCCTATATATTCTTTGCTGGGTTCATTGCACCAAAGCCGCTAGATAATTAATATAATAAATACTACTTCCAAGGTTAAAGTTAAACTATATATATCTTAAATAGGTATAATTAATATTATAACAATATTCAATATTGCCGTGTGGTACATGTAACTTCATTCACATGCCCCCCTACTTTTTCAACATGGCATTTTCTAGTGATAATATCTTATGGTACTTTCTAATAATAATATTATCTCCGTTTATTAATCCAAATAGGTATAATACTATATAACAATATTTTTCTTAACAAATTTAATGATATTTATTTAGTGTGATATATAAATATTAGTATCATTTTATATAAATTTGAGATTTGGAGGCAAGTAAAAGCCTATTCTGTTGGGTGGGGTTTACCTACCAACCACCAATGCATGGTTCATTGTACCCAAGATATAGGGCCCGTTCGCTGGTCTAAAACTTGGCTGAAACTGACTGGTTTTGTGAGAGAGAAACACTGTAGCGGCTGGTTGATGAACAATGCTTTGTGAGGGATTCCAGCCGGCTGGTATGAAACTTTCAGCCCAGCGAACGTCGCCATAGTAGTATACTACTTCGTTATAAAGGCAATTCTACATCAGAACAAAGTTAAAGTATCTCAAACTTAAGTCTAATCTACAAAATACTGCCAGAATTCACAAGTCCAAATAAGTATAATATTTCTTGATAAATCTGATGATACTTATTTTTTTTGTATCATATATGAAAAAGGAGTAAGCTTGGCGAACTAGCAAGCTACTAGCAGTCCAGTCTAGCAGCCTCTTTTGTAATGCCATCCACCTAACTGATCCCAAACCAAAGGTTCCTTCCATTTTCCAGGCCGGTACATCTGGACCGGTGCAAGAAGAAGAAATAAAAGTTGCTCGCGATCGATCGATCGATCACTTAAGCATGCATGTACAGGTTCTCAGTATCGTCTTCATTGTTG